GAACTGGGAGGCGGGAGGAGACATTTGAGGGGGACTTTCTTTCATGAAGAAGGCATTCTCACAAAATGGAAGAAGAAATATTGCTGTCGTTGTTGACCTCCTTTTCCTCAACGAGAGCCTTTGCGCCATTACTACTTCGCTCGACGCAGCTTACTTGGGACTTACAGTAGCATTTAATAGGAAAATGTAAAGGGGAGGGGGAGAAAAATAACAGTTTTTTAAACATTTTCCGAAAGCTTTTCACATTATTTCCCGAATAAGAGACAAAGAAGAGTTATGAGAGATGAATGTTTATGTCACGGAAGCGCAGTTTGGAGTGTTTTATTTGCAATAAACACGTGTTTTTTCTCCAATTTGTGTCTCTTTGTGTCAAAGTTATTTCTTTCGATTAAAAACACGAACACGAGTAAAACTATGGGTTTTCAGGTGATATATTACTGCTGCAGGTTAGATTTGAGGATATTTATGTTGCAAAAGAAAAAAAAAAGACGGGGGGCAAGAAAAATATTGTTTGTTTGTTTTTTAACGCCCAATCCACTCATATAGCACCACGGATGGTTCAGGTTTATACCATGCAGTTGAACTTTTGCAGTTCGGTGTTTGAGAGCGATTCCGGGACATTTATTGCTGCAAACCAAACGCACATTAATGATCGCTGCTGGCTGCGATGATGGGATTTCCTCCTTTAATACGCAGCGGTGTTTTGTCATTTGGTGAAACACCATAATGAGGAGCTGACCGCGGATTTTATGTTAAGGCCACTGTAATAAATAAATAAATGATATCAATAAAACGTTTTTTATTTTATTTTTTTATTTATTTTTACATCAGCTCCGTCCGTTTTGGGCGGTGTTATTTCACAGGACTGCTTTAAGTGATATTAACTTAGTGCAGTTTGACTGCGGGGAGGGCGGGTGACTTGTATAGTGCGTGCGGTCAGTAGAGACATGATTGTGTGGGTTGGACAAACATTGTAGGTCACTTTTATTTATGATTTTCTTATTATAGTTAATAATTTAAATGACACATAGCATTATTTATTAAATTTTAATATTATATTGCAGATGAATACTGCATCATTAAATTGTTGATATTCTTTATTTTATTTTTATTAATTGTTTTTAGATACTGTCACCAGGATGGGGAAGGATCCAACCAAGCCCAGGGGGAAGATGTCCTCCTATGCATATTTTGTGCAGACCTGTCGGGAGGAGCACAAGAAGAAACACCCTGAGGCTTCGGTTAACTTTGCCGAGTTTTCCAAGAAGTGCTCCGAGCGATGGAAGGTAGTAGAGTTTAGCTTGAGGTTTTGTTTTGGGTTGGGTTAGGGTTTTTTTTTTATTTTTTTATTTTTTTTTTGAAAGTGAAATTTGTAGTCCTGCTGAGGGGTCAAGGATATATGACAAGCAGGATGTTGTTGGTTACACCTCTTGACTTTAGCTGAAAAGGTGCAGGTGTTGTGTAATGAGATAACACAAAACAAGAAATAAGCAAGCTTGGGTACAGAGGGCGACGCCTCAGAAGGTGCAGTTGGTGAGATGCCTGTTTTTGCTCTCAGACAATGTCGGCCAAGGAGAAGGGCAAATTTGAGGACATGGCCAGGCAGGACAAGGCGCGCTATGAAAGGGAGATGATGAACTACGTTCCGGCGAGGGGGGGAAAGAAGAAGAAGAAGTACAAGGACCCTAATGCCCCCAAGAGACCTCCGTAAGTACTGCAAAACCACATTTGAGGATTTTTGAGATGTATGGCGAGTGAGTTGTGTAAATAAATGTTTTTCTGTCCCCCCCCAGATCTGCCTTCTTCATCTTCTGCTCAGAGTTCCGCCCTAAGGTGAAAGGCGAGAGCCCCGGCCTGTCAATTGGCGATGTTGCCAAGAGGCTGGGCGAGATGTGGAACGGCACCGCAGCCGAGGACAAGCAGCCCTTCGAGAAGAAGGCGGCCAAACTGAAGGAGAAGTATGAGAAGGTAAGAGTAAAATGTGAACGCCGACTGAACTCTTCGGTGACAGCTGTCTATTTTTGTGTCTCGACACTGGTTCACCGCGTTTTCGCTCCTCCCTCGCAGGACATCGCTGCGTATCGCGCAAAGGGCAAACCAGGCAGCGGTGCGCCAGCGAAAGCCCCGGCCAAGGCAGAGAAGAAAGATGATGATGATGACGACGACGATGAAGATGAGGAGGAGGAAGAGGATGATGACGATGAGGATGATGATTAGTAGGTGGCAGGTGACATAAAGTGGTCATTTTCTTGTTTATAATGCATTTAAACCACTTGTACACAATTCACTTAATGAAAGAAAATTCATTAGTATCCAAGGGGTAAAAAATAAAAAAAAATAAATAAAACGACAAAAAAGGCTGTGTATATCAGTTGTTTTTATGCTGTACAGTTTTTTTTTTCTCCTTTTTGTATAGTTAACACTACACAAGTATCGTGTCTGTATCTTTCTGCCAGTCTTACTTTTTTTTTTTTTTTTTTTTCCCCAGTGGTAGTTACTAGACCACTATCCTGCCTGGTACAGTGTAAAGGGGTGGGCTTTACAGTATTTACCTTATCTATAGGTGCACAGCACATAAAAATGTTCTGAGTTAGATCTGAGTGCTTCTTTTTTTTCCTCCTTCACCTGTGTGTTTTTATTTTAAATTACATGTTATCAAAATTGACGTATCACAGTTGTTTTACTGATCTTTATGTACCACTGTAATAGCAAAATAAGACAAAAAAACCTTGTTTATTGTTGAAAATTAAATTGCTTCTGATGTCAATAAACATTTTTTTTTTAAATAAATTGGTTTTGTATTGTGTACAGGTTATGTGTTTAAAAAAACAACAAAAAAACGTGTGAGATTTAAGCTGGTAGAGCAGGAGTAAGATGAGTTGGATTATATGGCAGCTCTGTGGGGGGGAAAAGAATCAATCAAAACAAATTTAATTAAAACTAACACCATAACAGATCATTCTCTTTCGAGACCTGAGGATCAATAGTTTTCTTTCTGGAAGGTGAGACGTATATTAACTCGCACTGCTGCCTCGGTTAAGTTAAAGTGACTCCACATTATGAGACCCGGACGCAATTAAAGAGAGCGGGAAAGCGTCTTAACGACTCGGGCCCTGATAAGCTGTTCCTATGAAGTATGACTCATCACCACAACTGTTTGTATCCTCCGTTTTTAAGTCTACTGTGGCTGCGTGCAAAAAAGCTGCTAGGCTCCTTGCCACACTAGGAGGTCCACTGAAAGTTGTAGCTTTACTGCCTTCTCTTCATGCCAACATGCATCACTGACTCTTCCTGTTTTATTTAGATCCAGCTGCTTCATCTCCTGTACTCTCTTGGTCTCATCTAGGGTATAAAAAAAGAGGGGCATTTATATAAGAAGGATTATGTGCTTTGAAAAACCCAGTGACATAAGAATATGGCTGGTGCAGTCGAACCTAAAAGCCACACTTGGGCTGTGCATCGAGGCCTCAGCAGCACTCCCTTTCCCCTTGGGAGAGTGCTCATTGAGGAAGAAGGGGCTTACCAACTCCCAGTCTGAGAGTATACACAAGTCTGCACAGAGCAGGAGCAGGGCTGTGGTGTAAATTACTAGGATATGTCTTCCACTGGGCTATATCAGTCCTCAGTCTATGCACTAAGGTCAGCCTTGGCCTACTGTATGAGCTTTGGTATGAAGTGGGCCAGAAGACAGGCAGACACAGAGCAGCAGTTGACCTCTGCACTGCTTTGATAAAGCCCAGTCACCTCTCTACTCTGAAGCCTAGAGATGACTGCCTTAATTCTGAATCCAGCTGCTAAAAAAAAAAATTCTTTCCTGTTTTGTTTTTATCTCCCATTGTTCCTCAAAACTGCACAAAGCTGACTCGAGGCAAACCCACTTACCAAATATTTGACAGCTGCACACTCCTCGCGCTGTTGGGTATTTCCCCACTGTCTCTGTGCTCACTGTGCCACTATGGTCTGCTCTCAGTGTACAGCAGACTGTGGGAAGCGGTTAAAACGTGAATGTTTACACTCAACATCCACTGAACGGGCCAACTGGAGCGGATTGTGTGGTGGTGAGTGGCAGGAAGAAGGAAACTATGCAGAAACAGTTGCAGTTGCACTCAGCTGTTGATCAGTTTGTGTGTGGGCCTTTTTTTCGTTTCTTTCTTTTCTGTTTTTTCCAGGCCTGAAGTGCGCATACAGTACTGCAGGCTTTAGCCACACAGCGCCACTGCTGGATCTTAAAAGCCCGCTAATCCCAGCCACCTGGTGTTCTCTGGGCACGCTCTGGGCTCCATCAGCGGGCTCCGGGCGACACCTAGTGGTCACGTTGTGCGCTTGCACCCAAACTGGTGATGAAATCTCACGATTATAGTTTAAACCAGTCAATAAATACTTAACTTTGGGGTAAACATTAAAAGTCCTTGGATTACATATTGATTTAAAGCTGAAAGCCGCTGGTTCAATGTTAATGTGAACTTTATTATCGGATATGAACTTGTGTAGAAGCTTAAAGCCTTAGCTGGAAGAAATCTAAAACAGCTCACATCTTCCTTATGTCCTCTAATGAGCTTGATCGTGACAGATTATGCAACTGGGTTGGCATCCATCCATCCATTCGCTTCCGCTTATCCTTTTTCAGGGTCGCGGTAGGGCTGGAGCCTGACCCAGGTGTCTTAGGGCGAAAAGCGGGGTACACCCTGGACAGGTCGCCAGTCTGTCACAGGGCTAACACACAGAGACAAACAACCATTCGCACTCACATTCACTCCTATGGGCAATTTAGACTGATTAATTAACCTATCCCCACTAAGTGCATGTGGGAGGAAGCCGGAGTTCCTGGAGAGAACCCACGCAAACATGGGGAGAACATGCAAACTCCACACAAAGACCCCAGCCTGGGGTGTGCGTAATTATTCAGCCCCCTGAGTCAATACTTTGTAGAACCACCTTTTGCTGCAATTACAGCTGCCAGTCTTTTAGGGTATGTCTCTACCAGCTTTGCACATCTAGAGACTGAAATCCTTGCCCATTCTTCTTTGCAAAACAGCTCCAGCTCAGTCAGATTAGATGGACAGCGTTTGTGAACAGCAGTTTTCAGATCTTGCCACAGATTCTCGATTGGATTTAGATCTGGACTTTGACTGGGCCATTCTAACACATGGATATGTTTTGTTTTAAACCATTCCATTCTTTATGTTTAGGGTCGTTGTCCTGCTGGAAGGTGAACCTCCGCCCCAGTCTCAAGTCTTTTGCAGACTCCAAGAGGTTTTCTTCCAAGATTGCCCTGTATTTGGCTCCATCCATCTTCCCATCAACTCTGACCAGCTTCCCTGTCCCTGCTGAAGAGAAGCACCCCCAGAGCATGATGCTGCCACCACCATATTTGACAGTGGGGATGGTGTGTTCAGAGTGATGTGCAGTGTTAGTTTTCCGCCACACATAGCGTTTTGCATTTTGGCCAAAAAGTTCCATTTTGGTCTCATCTGACCAGAGCACCTTCTTCCACATGTTTGCTGTGTCCCCCACATGGCTTGTGGCAAACTGCAAACGGGACTTCTTATGGTTTTCTGTTAACAATGGCTTTCTTCTTGCCACTCTTCCATAAAGGCCAACTTTGTGCAGTGCACGACTAATAGTTGTCCTATGGACAGATTCCCCCACCTGAGCTGTAGATCTCTGCAGCTCGTCCAGAGTCACCATGGGCCTCTTGGCTGCATTTCTGATCAGCGCTCTCCTTGTTCGGCCTGTGAGTTTAGGTGGACGGCCTTGTCTTGGTAGGTTTACAGTTGTGCCATACTCCTTCCATTTCTGAATGATCGCTTGAACAGTGCTCCGTGGGATGTTCAAGGCTTGGGAAATCTTTTTGTAGCCTAAGCCTGCTTTAAATTTCTCAATAACTTTATCCCTGACCTGTCTGGTGTGTTCTTTGGACTTCATGGTGTTGTTGCTCCCAATATTCTCTTAGACAACCTCTGAGGCCGTCACAGAGCAGCTGTATTTGTACTGACATTAGACTACACACAGGTGCACCAAAGGGGGCTGAACGCACACCCAACTTTTCAGTTATTTATTTGTAAAAAATGTTTGGAATCACATATGATTTTAGTTTCACTTCTCTTTTTTTTTTTTTTTTTTTTTTTTTTTTTTTTAAGAAATAGGACAGGGGGAATGAATGAGAGAAGGGGGAGAGAAAGAAAGAAAACCAAAGGGGAGAAGAGACGGTGAGAAGGGGGAAAAAAAAAAAAAAACAACTCCTGGGTCACCTGTATGGAGAAAAAAACAAAAAAAAACAAACAAACAACAAAAAAAACAAACAGAGGAGACAGCAAACAACAAAGAGCAACATAATAATAGAGAAAACAAAGCACCATCACAATAAACTAGCTAGTCATAGATATCAATAGTTACTGAATAATAAACGATATTGTGCAGCACGCAAGATAGACAGCGCACAGTGTGCTTTGAGGCAGCAGCCAAGAAAGCTTTAGTCCGCGTCTGTGAATACCCATGTGTACACCTGTGTGCATACCTGTGTGGATCAGCATGCTTGCATTCCAAAGGTTTCTCCATGTAATGATCTGCTAGGGAGTGTGGGGGGGCCACAGCCCCGTCCTCCAGGGTGTGAAGCGGGTATGGAGGAGATCAAAACTCCAGACATCCAGAGGCCCCCAGAACACAAGAGACCAAGGAAGACCAACAGAGGGGCAGCCGCGCCACTGTTCCAGTAAGAGCTGAGGAGAGTCCCAGATGAGGGCTCGCCCAGCAGCCGCGGAGCAGAAGCCAGGGGGAGTTGCAGTGACGCGCCCGTGAGCTCCGCCGGCCCCCAGCTGTGCCTGAGTGACCGAGCCCCAGGCCGAGAGGCCGGGGGCACCCCACCTCCAAAGGGGGCCCGAGCGAGCCCCAGGCCCCAGGCCCCGACAAGCGGCCGCCAAGGAGTGAGCCGGTGTGTACCCGGACGCCCACCCCCAGACACAAAGAACCACCAGCGCACCGACACCTGAGGGAGTCCGCCACCGGCAGGGGAAGTGGTGGTGGGTAGAGATAGGCCTCCAAACCTTGGAGGGCCTGAGGTGTCCCCAGAGAGGTGGCATCTGATACCCAACCTGACATATAGACACAGACATACAGGCACACACAGACACAAACATCCATTCCCACCCTCATGCTCTCTAATAGTTGTCCTATGGACAGATTCCCCCACCTGAGCTGTAGATCTCTGCAGCTCGTCCAGAGTCACCATGGGCCTCTTGGCTGCATTTCTGATCAGCGCTCTCCTTGTTCGGCCTGTGAGTTTAGGTGGACGGCCTTGTCTTGGTAGGTTTACAGTTGTGCCATACTCCTTCCATTTCTGAATGATCTTGAACAGTGCTCTGTGGGATGTTCAAGGCTTGGGAAATCTTTTTGTAGCCTAAGCCTGCTTTAAATTTCTCAATAACTTTATCCCTGACCTGTCTGGTGTGTTCTTTGGACTTCATGGTGTTGTTGCTCCCAATA